AAAAAAAAAAAAAAACAAAAAACAAAGAACAAGCTTAATAGGAATGTGATACATTTCAACTACACAAAGGTGAACATTCTGAGGGCAGAGATGAGCAAAGGCTGATTATTAAGTTACCAACTATAGTGACTCCAGTTTAGAGATAAAAGTAAAAATCCCTAAGACTATTCAGGGCTATCCTTAATAGACTGTGATATAAGGGAGAAGCTTTCCAAGCCAGCTTTTCTATGGATAAAGCACTGACTACCTCCAGCATTTACACTCTGTCAGTTACCTATTGCTACAACAATGCTGTACTGTGTAATATACAACCAGAAAACATCAATGGTGCACAACAGTAAATATCAAGTTTTGCTCATGAGTCAGTGGATTGACTGGTTGATTTTGCTGGTCTAACTGGGTTTGATGGGGTACCTCCATGAGTTTGCAGTCAGTTCTAGGTAAGCCTGTTGACTTTACTGGTTTTGAGTTTTCTCATGTGTCCCTAGCCTTTGCCAGAGTATCTGGGACAACTGAGCTTGCTCCAGGTGGCTCATTCTCCAGCAGCCTAGCCCAGGTATGGCATGATCCAGAAAGAAAGTGGAAGCACGCAGTCTCTTAAAGCCTAGGTCTGCAGCGTGTACAGTGCCACTTCTGCTGCCTTCTTTTGGCCATTTCAAGTCACAGGATGAGGCCAGATCCAAGAGTGGAGAAATAGACTCTACCTCTTGATGAGAGAACTTATAAAGTCACGTTCCAAAATGTGTGAATATGGATTTATGCAAACAATCAGCTTCATCCACTGGGGCCAGTTATGTAAACAATCAACTGCATCCATCACCCAAGCGTTACCTGTTTACCTAACACGTAGTTATAAGGCATTAAGTTCTGAAGGTTATCATATTGCTCCCAGGCATCAGAAGAGTTTGTGTGCACATACGTGGCAAGGTAAGGCCTTGTATGTCAACAGTTTGCTTCGAGTATCTTATGCTTTATCAATGATGTACATCAAGGGGGATATGCAATGTATTCAGGAAATTATTCAAGATATTCAGAAAATTTCCACATACTCAACAGATGCATTATGGTTACCTTGAAGATCCTGTCTTTATGCTGCTCCGAAATTCTAGACTGTCTCTGATTGCCAAGAAGATACTGTTGTTTCAAAGTGGGACGCATCATTGTGTGTTGACTATGGCTCTGTTTAAAATCTGCTCAATCTTTTCTAAGTGAAGAAATACAAATCCCTTAGCCTACAGCCTTTAGACACTGCACTGTCTGACCGAACTCTGCTATCCGAATTCATCTTGTGACGTGAAGTCCCACACATATGTCCTGAACACCACACTCTAGATTTTTGTTTCCTCTGTCTCCTTTACCTTCAACGTGATATTCCTCAGTCTCTGCAAATCCAAATCTTAACAATCCTACAGTGTCTTCTTAAATATGGCCTTCTGCTTAAAAAACCCTTCACTGATAACCCCAGACAAAAGTGTGTTTCCTCTTTATGTTTCAAAGAGACGGAAAAAATATGAACTCAAATTTGAGAACAGTTCTACCGCTCACTTACTGTTAGACTTAGACATGGTGCTTAATTTTGCTACACCTGTTTTTCTTAACTTTCTAAAATGGGGATAATACCCACCTGCAGGGTGATTATGATAAAAATACTGTATTTAAAGTTTCTAACATTTACAAGGTCCTTGATAAATGATGGCTGTTTTTATGACCCTACCTTATACAAGTCATTACCTTCTTATTTTCTATATTAATGCCCAACCAATGCCTGTGTTACTGTCGCTCCCTGCGCTTCCCTCTTCTTAAGGACAGGAGTTATGTCTTCCTTCTGATTACTTTTCTCTGCATTTTACAGATGAGAAAACAGAGGAACCACAAGATTAAGTAACTTGTTTAAGGCCAGATAGTTGGCAGTACTGGAGTTGAGATTTGAATTTATTTTAGGAACTGCTTTCTAAACCCCTACCTGTATGTACTGCCTTGTCTTAGCCTGGCTTCCCCCTGGAAATAAAGCCTGAGACCAACGTTTATTTGAGACTGGGTTGAAGGAAGCGGGCAGGAGTGAAGGACAGGGGGAGTGAAATAGGAAAGGGACAACTGATTGAGTTGGACTGGTGCTTGATCCCACCAAGCCCTCTTATGTTTCAAAACTGTGGCTTGGGGAATGAAAGGAAGCACTGGTTATGGGTTACCCAGTGTTACCTTCTTGCACTTTTGGTGGTGCATACTTAGTGGAAAGGCAGTACCCTCTGGCATCCTACCAAAAGTACTCAGGGAAGCCTGAGCATGGTGGTGGTACCTATAGTCCCACTACTCAGTAGCTGGAGTGGGAGGATCACTTGAACCCATGAGTTGGAGGTCATGTTGAGCCAAGATTAGGCTATTGCACTCCAGCCTGGGTGACAGAGTGAGACTCCATCTCAAAATAAGTAAATAAAAACTCTTGCCCTCAAATTCCTTTTAAAGAGTTTTATGGGAAGGCTTGGGCTCACTTGTGTTTTGAAACACGTCAAGTAGGTGAGATTATGAGAGAAGAAATTTTCTGAGATGTTTTTCTAAATCTACTGAAAGGGAAGCCCATATTAGAAAGTTATATGCGTTAAAAACTATGACTTGAATTCATGATTCTTTTTTTTGTTTTTTGAGATGGAGTCTTGCTCTGTCACCAGGCTGGAATGCAGTGGCACAATCTCGGCTCACTCCAACCTCCGCCTCCTGGGTTCAAGCAATTCTTCCACCTCAGCTTCCTGAGTAGCTGGGACCACAGGCGTGTGCCACAACGCCCGGCTAATTTTTTTGTATTTTTAGTAGAGACAGGGTTTCACCGTGTTGGCCACTGAATTCATAATTCTTACCATACAGTAGAACATTCCTAAAATAGAAATGCAACACAGCTTTAAGTTTTCCTGAGTCTTCTTTAGGATCAGCCCTATTATTCTCTTAGAATTTTTAGACTTTAAATTTACAGGTACTGATTTTGTCTCTTGGTTTGTGAATCTTCCCCTCAGGGACCATCTTTTGAATAAAAAGTCCATTTTGGACTGGAGGAAAAAACCATATTTTTATAAATTAAAATCATTGCAAATAAACCAGAAAGGAAAGTTATCTAACCTTGTCTGGAACATGGATTATCCTTTTACTTTTCAGTAAAATGTCATGTAGATAGCATGGTCATGTATATAATTCAACAAGAAACTTAAGCTGAATTGAGGTAGTGAAGTTCAATAGAAAAAATTATGTCAGGAAGGCCAGAGTTGGAATCTCCACTGTGCCATTTCTAAAAACTGTGCCAACTCTTAGGCAAGTAAAGCTTTCTATGACTTAATTTTCTCATCTATAAAATGAAGACAACGTCATTGCAAAATTATTGTGAGGATTTTTTCTTCACAAAGTTGTGAGGATTAAAGGAAGCTGTATATGTGAAAGGACAAAGTACACACATAAACATGAAGCATTATTTTACTTTAAAAATGGCTCAAAGTTAATAAATTCATGGGAAAACTAGTGTCAAAAAGTCTAATTTTGAATCGGGGGACGACTTGTAGAAGGGCTGGGTTGTTAGCTAAGTTTGGCCCAATATGCCCTGTCCTTGGTCTCCCACTGGGGTTGCATGGTATTGAAAAAAAAACCAGACCTTTTTTTTCTTTTCTTTTTTTTTTTTTGAGAGAGAGTCTCACTGTGTTGCCCACGCTGGTCTTGTACTCCTGGGTGCAAGCAATCCTCCTGCCTTGGCCTCTCAAAGTGCTAGGATTACAGGCGTGAGCCACCACACCCAACCAAAAAATAGACTCTAATCAGCAAGCAGCTGGTTTCTACTGAGCTTCCATTACAGCTAGACACATGGCACAAAGGAAGAGATCTTGCCTTTGTGATAAATTTTTATGTAATATGTGAACTAAGATAAATGAAAAGTCAGGTCCTTCCTTAGAAAACCCTGCACAAGACTGCACATCCCTTATAGCTTTCCAAAAGCCTATTTTACAATCTTTAGGAGTCTTATCACCACTACGCGTTACACATGTATCATCTTCCTCTCTCCATTAATTTTTCGTTCTACTTTATATGAAATAATAACACTATTCTCTGGGCTTGTTTATCCAAACTCATTGTGCTGTATATTTGAAATACATTAGTACACATCACCTAATTCTTAACCATCCAAGTAGCTATTAGTCCTGATAGAATGTAGTGCAGAAATCAAAGATCATAGAGATTAATTTACTTTCAAGGTTGCAAACCCAGTAGAATATGAAGAAAATAGGTTTTGGAATCCAGGCCCCACCCTATGTTCAGTGCCTCTTTCCTCATTCTAATTATTGCTTTGGTTAACAAGAGATAATAATTAAGTTAATTTGCCTCTTGCTGAGATCACAATTGATATTTTAAAACATAAGAATAACTATACATTTTGCACACCTTACTCTATCGCAATATTTCACCAATGGAATATTGAATGATAAGAAATATCACTAGGAAACTATGGGTCAGGAAAAATACAGTAAAAATAATGACTCCTATAATTCTGGTATCTTTAGGAATGCATGTCTCAGTAATCAAGCAGAAATAAACCAAGCGAGATGCTACTCGAATATAAATAAAGTAGGCAAATGATTGGTGTTCAGTTTTGCCAATTTTATTGAACCAATAAAATTCCTACTAATAACAATGAAATAAATTTCTGCAAGTATAAATGTGATACAGTTTAACAAAACCCATTGTTCTGTACCTATAAATAGATTTTTAAAATGTCATAAAAAGTGCAGTTATGAATTGTTAACATGTTAATACACAGTTCCTTTATTTCAAATGCGTTTGTCTTGACTCACTAACAGTTCCTTCTGCATCTGTCCAAATAATATTACCCATCCCTCCAAAAAAAAAAAAAAAAAGGGGGGCATTAAAGCACTAGAATATTACAGATAAACTGATCCATTTAGATCAGCTTTAGTCAGAATTGTAAAATCAGCAACATAAGAAAAACAAAACCTAGTAATACATACGAAAAGCTTTCTTGGGTTCTACAACCTTCTTAACTGCTGACTCATGTGGAGGGCATTAAGAGTTGAAAAGGCTTTTATGGTTAACTACCTAGACTATAACTACAGTAGGATCTGGTTTGCCAGAACAAGTTTAAAGTGGCTGTTTATTAAGTTTGCTATTTTCAGAATAGAAACTATAAGACCGCCATTTGACATTGAAACTTGTGTGAATCCTAAATTGCATCAATTATCTATTTGATAAAAGCTTATTCTAATTTAAAACCTTATAGAGTAAGAGACTGATATATAGAGCAGTCTTAAAGATCACGTCATCTGCCTTACATTAGTCCAGTCACGTGCTTCGTAAAAAAAAAAAAAAAAATTACAGTAACAAAGCACAGGACTACAAAGGCAAAAACATCACAGCTTCTGATTACATTGAATAAAAAGTACCAAGGAACGCAGAAGATAATTCTGTATTAATACTGATGAATTAAAGAACTATAATAGACGTTTCACAGCATGCTACATATATCGCTCACAACTTAAGGATAAATGTCTAACGTTGAAAGTCAAGAAGTTGGCAATCTGATTTCATGTGCAATTCAGCTACCAAGTCTTAATATATACATTCATTATGTAGCTGTCCTGCAAAACCAGGATTTTTTTTTTTTAAAAAAGAGTTTTCAAGTTCAACTGCTATTTCATAAGTTAAAAGATACATCCAGTTCTTCCATGACCAGGAAAGTTATTTTCAGGCTTAAAGGAGCTAATCCAAGTAGCAAGGCCATGTTCCAAGTTGACCTGATGGGTTTCTTTATTACCTTGCTCAGACTGCATGTATATGTGCCTACACTAGCAGCACTGAGAAGATGCCAAACTGGCTGTGGTTTGCTTTCTATATCTCCTATTTTGGGTTGAAAAGAGTAAATGTGAAGAGAAAGAGGAAGGGGAAAACTGTATTTTCTCTCTAGAGACGACTAAATAATGCAAAGGAAATATCTGCACTAGATACATAGTTTGGATCACTTTCCTTGGTGAACAAGGGTACCATTTAACTCTTTTACCTTAGAGAACCAGCGAAATTCAGAAAGCAGAAATCTCTCAACATTACAAAGGAAACTTCTTGGCCACCCAACTACTAGATTTCTTTTTTTCTATCTTTTGATCCTTCCTTATTAGACTTGGGGAGCCAGTTGAAAATGTGCAACGATATTAATTTAAGAAAGATGTATATTAAGTTTATTCTGTTTCATAATGTATGGACTTAACTAATCAGGATTTGTGAACAATATTTTAACACTATAGACCAGAGAGATTCTCTGATATTTTTTCAGTAGAAGTTATACATTCATTTTTTTTAAGAGGTTAACTTGAGGGGTGCAAGAAAATAGACTGTTTTAGCAAAATTTACATAACAAAAATTCTATTCGTATTTAGACTTACTAATGTTTGATGTCCTATAAACTGTAAAATTGGGTATTTCTTCTAAAGGCTATTTTGTGGTATGCCCTGCACTATTTCAAAGATTTCCACAAGCATTCAAAAGAATCAGATATTCATTCTCTGTTTCCCCCCATATACATATATAAATATATATTTTTTCATTCTGTACTTCATGGTGGTACAGTCATATTTAGGTTAAAGCTAAAATGAACACTTCATGGCATATGATTTAATACAAACCACCTCATCCAGTCTCCATTATTAAGTCTCATATCTTAACTAGGACATCAATTCATCCTGAGCCTTTATAGGCATTTATTGGATACTACTATCAGGTTGAGTTGTTCATGAATGAGATGGAGAACATCCAAATATCACAAGAAATAATAATAATCTATACTTTCAAACGGGATGGTTCATCAGGTCAGACAACCATCTGTAGTGTCCCATGTTAGAAACCTGATATAATTTTACATCTATGAACAACCTCAAGTGCACCTAGCTGGAGAGGAAGAACTATTACATCTTCTTCCTCTTTGCATTTCCTCTTCCTTCTGTATATACCTGATGTGTAGCTAGGAGAATAAAGACTACAAACTCAATGAATTTTCTTTTCATCCCATAGAACATTTTTTTCCTCCCGTAAGAACAAGATAGGAACAGAGGTTAGAGGGTTAGTCTAACTCACAAAAGCCTAGTCAAACCCTTATGGACCCAGTCTTGTGGTATTTTATCTATATTATAAATCAAATGAGCTTCTGTGATCCCATGGGACCATCTAAACACCCTTTGCCTTATGTCCTTCTATTAGAAATGTGTTTCAAGGCCCAAACACCACCAATAAAACAAATGTCTGTAACACCACCCTATTTGTATGCCAGAAATTTCCCATTCCACTGAAGGGTTACAAGTCATTCTGGATTGCTGGAGAATTTTGACTTTACATTCAAATGGCTTGGACTAATAACAGTATTCGTAACCTAATAAAAATCCAAGTTAGGATGGCAAATCAGTTACTTTAAAATCCTGCTAAATGCTTAATTCTGTATAATAGAAATAGTTCAATTTCTGTATCATGTATAAATATAAAGATTCCTACTTTGATAAAGGCAAAAATGTTTTATGATTTATTTAAAATATGGAAGTTGTATTACTGAACAACAGTGAGTGAATCCATGAAAAGGTTGGATACTCTGAATTTATAGGCTCTTTAGGGATGAGGTAGAGGAGCGCAAGATATTTTGGCAGCTCGGAAAGGGGTAGAACAGAATAGGGTGACACAATTTACACTTGATACTGCATAACATCTGGCAGGATGTCTAGGGCAAAGGTTAGCCAAAATATAGCTGGATGGTTGAGGGATTTAGAAGGAGTTGGGGTGAATCCATAGTTTCAATGAATGGAGAAAAAGGAACTCAGAAAAGTAAATGCTGGTGACTATCAGCAGGTGGCTGGTGATGTTTGGTTTGGATTGTGAAAGCTGTTCAGACCAACATGGGCTGAGGGAAGGGGAGGGGAGTGAGCATGTAGAGGTTGAGGCACTTGGAGGAAGAAGAAGCAGGCAGGAAGGGGTGGACTGAATGCAGGTAGGAGCACCCACGTGGGAAATATTTTCTCTAGACTAGGTGTATGATGCTGAGGGCAGCCACACTCTTAGCACTATGTTCCTTGTATTTTTTGAAAACTTTTCCTTCCTCATAGGGCTCTGCCTTGACATATATCTGTACCTCTATTATTCATTTCACCCCAGCTCTTTTTGTTCTAGATCTCACCTGGGCATATTCTAGGTCTGTTAACTAAGCCAAATTAGCATTGAATTAAGCTCCACATACAGTGGGCATGGAAGTTCTGTTGACTGAGATAAATACATTCATGTTACAGTACTGCTTTGAAGAAAGATGATTATTTGATTCTCAGTCTCCAGAGGGATATAATAGGAAAACACAGTTTACGTTGACGGCCACCTAGAATAGGATCTGATTACATAAATTAGGTAACTTAAAACTCAATCTGAACAGAGGATCCATGTCTTTCAGTTTGCTGTTGAACTGTATGACTAAGCAAAGGTCATATAGTATTTACATAGCATTATTGTTATATATTCTTTACTCCATGTAAGACCATCTCTTTGCATAAAAGCAGTCCTATTAAAGAGAAGAATTTAAGGTCTTGCTTTCCAGAGAAATGATTTAGAATTGTCTTTAAAATACAACCTAAAACAGTTTATTTTGCTAACACAGTGCAAATCATTTTTATAACATGCACTAAAATTTATTTTTTCCATGATGAATTGTCCTTAGAGTTGAAAAGAATCTTACCATCATATAGGCATACACCCTCCCTTCACTAAAAATGGTGAACTGTTTTAAGTACAGATCTTTATTGATCATTTTATTTTGCTGTGGCATAGAAATCTAAGATTTTGGAAAAAAACTTTATAAGGGGGAAAAGGAAAAAGCTCTGGAATAATTAGCTTTCAGACACATTTAAAATCTTTAGGAGACATTATAACAAATAGGAGCTCTGGTTCAAATTTTATAGGATTCTTATATAAAACTTATATTGAGTTTTCTGTTGTAAAAACAGCCCTGTGTTCCTCTGCCATTATTTGGGCTTAAAACCATAATTAAAGGCCAAGGCCATGCCCCAGATTCCATCTTAGCCGTCTTTTATTTTAAAAATACCCCAAATGGGACAAATTTGTCCTGGGACTGAGACAACGTACTTAGTTCATAAAGGTGAAGGAGGTAATAAGCTGTCTCAAAAGCTTCTTTTCCCCTTATGGTCACACATCCACCTGAAGAAGCCTCATCTGAAGATGCCAATGAGGCACCTTGCCTGGCTACTCCCATAGTCAGGTGGGTCAAATAACAGATTATTTTCAGATGGGAGAGTATTTCTTAACGTGATCTAGAAATTATCATTGAAGCTGGAAATCTTGAAATTCCCAAGTAAATAGACATTATTCAAGCATACACATCAGTGGACTATTAGACTAATTTTAACATAATAAGCAAAGAATTAAAGAATTCACATTCACATGTGCTTTTCTCACGTACACTCGCACATTTAAGTTTGGCACAATGTGAGCGCAAGGTGGAGATTAGCATATTGCATAATCACATCATTATACCAATTGAACCAGATATCTCTTTTTAAAAATAGCACATTTTAATATAAAAAGCTATACTATAAATTACTACATAGTAAATTCAATACTCTGAAAAAATACCACCCTGGAAAACCGCATCAGATTTCAAGTTTGCATTGGATAAAGAGAGTTAACAGCAAACTCGTTGTAAAATGGTATTCACAACCTGAAATGCTGTGCATGCTGCGTATTAGTAGGTGCTTTAGCACCTTCAGAAGTCAATTCTTCTAGGCTGGTTCACTGAGGTTCATAAATATATTGTTTTTTGTTTTTGTTTATAGTTCCAAGTCAACTTATTTTCCTGACTATTGATGAGCTAGATCAATGCTGAGCTAAAAAGAAACTTTGCAAGGAAAGAGAGCTATTAAAGGCACTAATATTTTCATAGCCTAAACTCCAACAATTTACATTTCCAGGGAAAAAAATAAACAAAAACTAAGTGGCCATTTTAGTTACTTAAACCTTGTTTCCCCTTTTGGTCTAAAGCTCATACGATGTTCTGTGAGAATTTCTCCTTCTTTTCAATACATACAAGTCATTTTTTATCCTGTTATACAGTTCACCTGCACAAAAATGTAGGGCTATTAACTGAAAGCACATAGTAAAAAAACAAATTCAAGAATAAAAGACATCCTCAACTGGAAAGTTGTAAAGTTAGGGAAGTCAAATGGACGTTTACGTTGCCGTTTGTGTTTTGCAGTTCTCCTATTTTCTTTGTATTACAGATCTACATATTATGGTATTGAATAAAACATATGGCATATGTAATGAAACAGAAGAGAGATGGCACAAGTTCTCTGAATAATCTCTTTAAATAAATCACCCTGTCTTTAAAAATATTAGCGATTTTTTTCCTCACATGGAAGATTTCAGACAGGATCCTGGAATCCAAAAATGCAGAACTACCTTATGTTAATAAGTTTACAGTCATCTTTGTTTTCCTATCTAGAACAAAATCTAAAAGAAAGCAACCCAATATATTGTACCAGAAGAGGATGATAAATGGAAGAGGAAAATGATTTAATGAAATACTAGTTCACAATTCTTTCTCAAAAGAAAAGTTAAATCCTGTATCACAAGTCTAAAATGAAATCTTTTAGGGAACTCTAACAGAACATTTTACCTATATTATTTACTATGAAAAAAAAATGGATATGTTTTCAAAAATTAGCATGTATGTGTTATGTGTACAATTCAAGTCACCCTTAACTAACCAAAAAGTATTTAAAAAGCAGTGCAGTTGTGTCCTACTGGATAGTTGTAAGCATCTCTTTAGGCACTTCACTGGTTCGTTGACATAATACAAATTAAAGCTATAAACACATAATGTTGTGCTGTCTGAAGATAGTCTAATCAAGCAACGTAAACCAATGCAAAAATGTGACTTTTTGGCCGCTTATTCCTCCCCTATGACTTGATATCTTTTTTTAACCAATTGTCCAAGGAAATTTTTATGGGGAAGGGAAGGGAATGCTTTGGCATTATGAAAGGAACATGGTTCAATCCCAGTAAGGTAAAACTGAAAACAGCCTGTGCAATAAAGAAATTTGAAAAAATTTCTTTATGGCTCTGTTTAAAAGGACACTTTTGCAGTGACATGACGGGGAAAGTTTAGTTGAGTATTTTTTGAACATATTGCACTCTGTTTTTTTGTTCAATCACATTAATGCATAGAAACACAATTTTTACCTTTGAATAATAAACTGTCTAACCTATTATAAGAAAAATCATGGAAAATAATTTCTAAAAGCCTAACAGGAAAAAAATAGGCATATTAACCTTCCTTTGCTTAACAAAATATAGAAAAAAACTATGAGAAGGGAAAAATGTGCAAAGAAAATTTTTGGTCAGTCTTGTGTGGGTACAGGTTTATATGTGCCAACTAAATGAACTATAAGCAGCACTGTGAGCACTGATTATTTAAGATGACTGTGAGGATTACTGTCAGTGATAGGATTGTGTATAATTCCATTTTTAATATATACATCTGATAGGAAAACTGAAACTTCTGTTTTAGAAGAGAAAAAAAATAGCTGAATTTGGCATTTCAGTAGCATGCTATAGAATTCATCATGATTAATTTCACATTAAATTATGGACAATGGCTGTATCACATTTCATGTTATCACCAATAGCAGTAAAACAACAACAAATGAACAAACAAAAAAAACAGTGCCTGACAAATAATCTCCTGGGGACACAAAGGTGTCCAGTGAGCAGCTTGGTTCAACAGCGCATGCTTTTCCTCCACCAGATTTAGGACACAACATTAAAATTTTAGAATGGCCAGAGAGGTCATTCTTTGCTGAATTCCAATATCTGTAAAACAATTGCTTGAGCAGATTGTAAGCGCTTGTCCTTATTGTTAAAAAAAAGGGCAGGGTTGGAGGGAGAAAAAAAATACACATACACACAACCCAAAAGCGCTGAAGTTAAGCATTAATAAGCCAGATTTTTGATTTATGATCAGTATCCAAAACTCCAACTATAAACAATGCAAAGTAGTGCTCCTCAGTATTATTTTTGCAATTGTTAGTAATGTTAAGCATCAAGGAAAATAAAACACATCATTGCACATTACAGCCGCAAAAAACAAAAACGAAAAACAAACGGCTAAACTTTGACACTAGATAACTGAATAATTTTTGATGCTATATCACAAATAGCTTCTGATGTTTATGTTATGTGAAAGGTCTTTACACATGTATGACGTTTTCCTTGGGTGATACTTCAGGTCAAATGCCGAGTTATGGCACGAAGAGCATAAAGAAGTTCAGCTTGCATTCGTGCTTCCATTAAAAGTAGATTGACATGAACCTAGAAGCGAAAATGTTATCAGTTTAGTAACCATTATAAATACCTAAAAAACTTTAGGCTTTTCTCATACATTAGACATTCATAAAGGTTTTTTTATGTGTATATAAGCAATATACAAACACACGCCTAGGCATATTTATCCATGTTCGTGATGCAACACTCAAACCTGTGTCTGTAAAAAATGGCTCCGTAAGCAGTAAAAACAACCCATAAAATCTAAAAAATTCTGATTAAAGTTTTATTTTTGTAAAGTCAATCTTTTGGATTATAAACTAAAAATCGGCCATTCATTTTTTTTTTTTTTACAGTTTATGCTTATCCTGAAAAAGCTTTAAACAATTTTCCTAGTATTTACTTGAAAGATACTAAATTGAAAATCTGATGCTTAAAGTTTCTAATTAGTGTTTGATACTTGTTAGACATACATAGCTTCCCTAGGACATTTCTTTTGGAATCACATCTCAGCTAGTAAGTTAAAATGAGTCTTCATAAGTTTTCAAAATTTACTATTAAAAATATTTTAATATTATATTATTTTGATATATTTCTATCAGTTGGATATATGGTTGGATATATTCTCCCGATGAGTAAAGAGAATTTCTAGCTACAATGTAGCAAAGGAAGAAAATCTAGAGCAAAAATATAAATAGGGGATAAAGACCCATCAGGGAGAAATGCTAGATATAAAATGGGTATTTACCTGATGTGATTGGCCCTAAGACTTCAAAAAATCTGTTAGGTACTGAGGCCATAACATTCTCTGATAAGATCATGCAGTTTATTAGTGAATGTTTCCTTAAAAAATTTTCTTACTCTCAAGCTTTGAAACTGTGGTATAAAGGAGATTCTTTAACTTAAAGGTTAAAAGACCTAGGACATAAGGGCAGCTTTTATACTATGATGTTGATAAAGATCTTTAACATTTATTAGGTTTTAGTGTTTCCTATATATTTCTTTCAAATAAATATTTTTATGTAATAGTATATTTGGCTCAAAGGTCTTGCTCTGTTGCCCAGGCTGGAGTGCAGTGGAGTGATCTCAGCTCACTGCAAACTCTGCCTCCCAGGTTTAAGTGATTCTCCTGGCCTCAGCTTCCCAAGTAGCTGGCACTACATGCATGCACAACCATGCCCGGCTTTTTTTTTTTTTTTTT